GAAAGCACATCAGCAGAAGTAAGAGCAGTGGAATATTTCATTTTAATCAGTAGTCATCTTTTGCGGTGTGCGAGTGCGACATGGCAGTCGTACAGAGGTGAGAAGGATCTTTAAAAGTGACCCAGAAGACTCCCAGTGAAATGCCTCTAATCAGCCCCAGGGGAGAACAACCTTGCTGGGCTACGGCTGAGAAAGAAGCCAGGGGCAAGAGCACACAGTCAGCTCTGACAGACTTTCTTCCCCGAGATCAATAAGCAGGTTCCCTTTTAAGGTGTGACATGTTTAGAAGAAATTTTACTTCTGAAATCCCACAGGAAGGATTTTTCCGTTTTTTCTTTTTTTTTGATTTTCTGTTGAAATTTCCTGACATATCGTAGGTGTGTGAACATCTGTTCCACAGTTATGAGTTGCCTTGGATTACATCAGCATGCTCTTCATTAAGGAGCGTGGCAGGATTGACCTACGCATAGTCAATGTGTACAAATAATAGGATGTGAAAGTGCTAAACAACTATTGAATGTGGGAAACAATAATAACATAACGACATAATCAACTTTTTTTTAACCATTATTAAACTACACTCATTACCATATTAGTATTTCGTCTGTATCATGCAGTGCGCTGTATTGCACACAGTGTTTGTGTGAGCTATGTTGAATAAATAAACGTTTATTTGGTTACTTAAGACAAAATAGGAAAACAAAAAACAAGTATAATGCCAGACAGGTTATGACGCCTACTCTTTTTAACATCGTCTGATCAACCATTCTTTCTTATTCATTTATTTTGTTCATAATAAATGAGAAAATTTAGTTTATGTGACACAAATAAAATGTACACATCTCTTAATAAACAAAACGGTGCCTGTTTTTGATGGACTTCACTCATCCACACATTGACAGGGCAGACATTTGAAAGCTGCCTCAGAGTACTCCACATTTGGCTGTGGACAAAGTACAGAAAACGCACAGACTTTTCACCCTCATCCTGAATGGAAACTATAGATGTGGGAATTACGGTACGTCTCATAAAACAAGCAAGACCCCCCATTTCTGTCATCCTCCATACCGGAAAGAAGTCATCCATCAGAAGTCTCATGGCATGTGCAGTGCATGTGGTTTGTTGTGCGTTGGAAAAATCTCACAAATACAGGTGTATCAGCGAACATGAAAGCACTTTATGACTCTGCATTGGAACCAGCTTTAAATTCTTAGCCCTAAAAGCTCAAAGAATTAAATGTAATGCTGGAAGAGCTAATTTAACCTGTATTCCCATTTGTCACAATATCTCATTCTACAGTTTTATTTTTAAGTTTATATGTGTATTTGTGTGTGTGTATGTGTGTGTGTGCGTGCATGTAAATGTTATTCCCTCACTATATGCACCTGTTGCCCAGTCAAGTGTGCAGAGTCTGGCCATAAATAGCTTTAGGGACCAGAATACAAGATTGTTATTATTACTAACTTTATTATTAAGATTAAAAAAACAGTGTGCAATGCCTAAGTGTTATCTCCAATATCCACATGGCAATAATGTAAAATTTTTGACAGGCTTTTAATTAAACACGTGAAAAGACCTATTAAGTCCAATATTTGCCTTCACTTTAACTGCCATTGTTTAATTCTTGGTTGGGCATCAGGAGAATTAGCCATCTGTGAAAATACAAACAAACCAACATTTCTTTTCCCTTTTTTTCAGATATTGTCCTGAGCGTTGTAACATTTTCACACTCATATTTGTTGTCTTACATGGCAAACAAACAATTCCCATCTGGCTCCCCGGTAGGCAAACTGCATCTGCGTCTCTGCCAGCCCAGCCACGCTACACCTGAATGAGGCCCGGCGTGTTTCGGTGCATGACTATCTCTGCCATCCACAGCGGCTGACATCTGGCAGCGGATGACTGGGCACAGATCAGCACGGCTCGGCGGCGTAGCTGTAGGGGAGGTCAGTGGCTGGGGGGGTGTGGTGGTGGTGGTTTGGAGAGGGGTTTGGGGTTTGTGGTGCATATTGAGTAGTCTGATTAAGCAGAGGAGCACACAGGGCCACAGAGACTGACAGAGAGAGAGAGAGAGGGGAGGGGAGAGGGACTCGCCTGGGAGACATTCATGACGGCACGCGCAGAGCCACAGCCGCTGTCCAGGTAACCACTGACAACATGAGCTCCTATTTTTCACGCACAGAGATGGAACAGTTCATCGTCAAATGCCACAAACATCATATACAGACTCTAGAGGCCATTGAGGTCCGTGAAGTCTTGATATCCGTGAATTTTTAGATACACCCCTAGAGTGAATTCATGATGGGGCTGTGCAAAACATCAAAAGATTGGAATCTCAATTTTGGTAAATCGCATTTATTGATGCCTGCATTACACCAATAATGTGGTGGCAACAGCAGAAGGGGCTGAAGAGATGATAATTCAGTTTGTACCTCACTTTGTGGAAATGTTTGTCAATGAAAAATATGTATTTTTCATACCAGTTGTTGTTTTTAAACGAAGTCAGATTTTTTCTGAAATTGGGATTGGTCTGTATCGGGTAAAGATTGATTGATCTTGATTATTTTTGACCTGTTGCCTATTTTGTTTTTGTGGGATTTTTGCCTCCTTTTCATTTATGTGCATTTATTTTAATTATCTGGTGATTATTCATTATGTTTTTGGCCCTATTTTTTTAAATTAAATTGTATTTGTCATTCCCACTCTCAAATTTGTGTTCTCACTTTTAAAGCAGACACCAAGACTCCTGCCATCAAAAGTATTGGTAGTCACAACCCATGGGACATTATAACGGGAGTAGGTGAATCTACGATATACAAAAACTGCCCTGCATTAAGGCTGATCAAAACCAACGTTACATTTCTTTTATTCTAAACATTTATTTTCGTCTAAAAATGCTCTTAGCGTCAAGAGCTGTCAGATAAAGGTCCGCAGCAAAAAAGAAAAGAAAAATAAATTCAGAGTAAAAACATGTTTTTCAACTGGGGTCACCAGCAAATGTATTCTGTCATGTTGTTATTTATGTTTTCAGCATAATAAATCTCGCTTCCAAAGTCAAATAGCGACCTAAAACACTTTATATGCATTATAATTCTCATTTGGATTCTTTCAGGCGCCAGTTTTGAAATCATTTGGAAGCGGGCAATGCATCCAACAGCTAAGGATGAACATGTCGACACTTCAAGAGTTAACTCTCTGCATGATTGTCAATAATTGCGTATTCTAAATCCAAAAAAATTTTCAAACAGAAATGTTGATGGGGTTTATAACAAAAGACAGTATTACCAATGACCTGTTAAATCAAATACTGATATAAAATGTATTCTTGTTCTGAATATGTACCCTTTTGAAACGCCAGAGATAATTATGTAACATTCAAACTGCGATAGAGACTTCTATCTGTAGAGGACCAATGCATTTGCTCACATATTGTCTCACCGGTGTCCTTAACGGAAAGAGAATAATAAAGATAATGAGCTAGTGTCAAAAACAGGCCATCCTCAGCTGCCTGCCCACCGCCACGCTCCGGCATCGCAGACCCACCGCTCCTCTGATAGATAATTTGTGCAATACTTCTCTATTTCGCCTTCACCACAACCACTCCATCTCGCACCAGTGGCACACCTTGCATGAAAAAACCATCAGCATCTGCACGGTACATGCCCAGGTGCATTATGGTAACTGATGAGTGTTATCACGGTAAAAAATAAAAGCAGGGCGGCGTAAATCAAGCAGTGATTGGGCGAATCATTGCGGCAACACGGGCCGCGAGTTTATGAAGCATCTCTGACGTACGCTGATTGCTTTTGATTCCCTCTGCTGTGTCTGCTTTCCCAATGAGGTGCAGCGAGCATGGGTGTCAGCACTGGCCACCTGTGTATAATGGTTAATGTGAAAAATAGATGTGAAATGTGCAGCGTCGTGTACGGTCTTTCCACACTGTGTCTCCCGGGTTGTCACATGTGTGGGTTAGAATGGTGTGTTTGCATGTAACGGGTCAAAGGAAATGTCACAATGAATTACAGTCTGTAATGGAGCTGAAGATTCATAGATAAAAAAGGAAAAAAAAAAAAAACTTCAATAGAGTAATCTAACCTGTGGCATAGCAAAATGAAAAGCAAAATGCATTAAGGTGCCTAGTAAAAGGTTTCTGACGGACGGTACGCCATGAACCTGTCTCTATTTAAGATATATATACAGTATTAGTTGTAGCAAAGTTGAATTCTTCTGATTCATTATCTTTCCCTTTTAATGGTGCCTGTTTTATATGAGGATTAGGACACATAGCTAAGTCAGTGGTCATGACATGAATCGCGAAACTGCAAAAAATAACAAAATATAACAAAAAAATGGCTTGAATTACGAAAAACTTATTTTGATGTGAGACATGTGTATTTTGAAAAGAGAGACGATTGAAGTGAGAAAAAACCCTGCTAAAACTGTTATTGTTGTTTTTATTTTTTAAACAACTTAACACATGTAGGCAAGAATGTATTATTTTATAATTACACATTTACGTAAAGAGATTATCATTTTGAATGCAAACATGCTAATTCCATAATTGGTTTTGTTTCAGTAAAAGCTTATTAAATAAAATGTAAATCTTCTTGCGCGTATTCATTCAACTTCTATTTGAACACTGAAAAGCAATAACATGATTTTACTTTGAGTCGGACATCTGTATTAACCGCTGATGTGATGGTAACTATCTGCCCACAGTGAGGTTTGCACTTGCATGATGCACGTCAAAAAGTTGTTCAGAGAATAAGGAATTGAGGGGTCATTTGCAAAGATGATAATGAAATAATAATAATAGCACACAGTGGAATTACTGAGCTTTACCCACAATATTGTGTGTCATTAGTGCCGCCACTAATGTTGCCATTTATGCTTGTGTTCTACACCAGCTCCCTCTAATTAAGCGTGGGCTTCTAAAAATAAACAGCAAACTAAATAGTGGGTGAAAACACATGCAAATCTGCTGTTGACGTACAGAAATAATGGTGGTGGAGCAGAGACGCGGCGTGGTGGGGATTAGCGGCGCGCTGCAGACTGAAGTAATTGAGTTGAGTGGTGTTGACACCAGGCGCAGTCACAGTGCCCATGTTGTGGAACGCGCAGCAAACGGGCACACTATGGGGCGCGTTGGATTTGTGTTCGAGCGCAGCCGGGAAACTAAAGGTGTTAGCGATTGATAAAAAGCTAGAGGATGCATAGATGCTAATCCCGGCATAGCATGAAAGAGATGAGTGGGGTGAACTTTTTCCTCCCCTTGTGAAACAGTGCCGACAATATGGTGCAACATCTGACAAGGTGAAGGGAACAGAGCCTGAGGGCAAAGGGCTCCTGGAGAGACTGGGGGTGGCTCAAGCAGCATTTCTATACATGCTACGATTTTTTATAGTTTTCCGTGTTCTATTATAAGTTGTTTTTTCATTCACACTCCTAGTGTGCATAGGTCAAGGTAGGGCTTTCTATATGAAGAGGACGACTCCACACATAAGAATCCAACAGTAGGTACGCCACAAGAAAGACTTCCACTCACTGTTAAAGATTAATTTTTATTGTACGACGTTTTGGTTTTGTCAGGTAGTCATCTAGTCCAAGGGTTACCTGTGTTTTAGGCTGCAAGGTAATAGCAATTTTGCATTAAAGTAATAAGCCCACATTCAAATGACTTGGATTCTGGTAATAATTTCATAAATTAAAGCTTTTTTTCTTTTAAAATCGGATTGTTAAAGTAGCCTATTCAACAAATTTGCAGTGTTACCACTTCAAAATACACCTCATACCTCACAAGCCCATGGTAGAGCTCACTCCCCACTTTTAGAAACACAATTTTAGTTGACTAATATTTGTATTTGATTTAAATGATCAACATTTTTGAAAGCTTAAAAGATGAACACAATATAGTTTCAAGTTACATTCTCTCAACAACATTATTAATGGACAAGGACCCAGTTTATATTTTTTCTGAAGAACACATTACTTTACCCGCTAAGATTTGTGGAATGTTGGTATTAAGATAACAATTACAAAGCTTTTACATTGCTTTAACATCGCCACACACCATGACCAGTGCCAGTAAACTGGGTGTCTGCTCCCCTAATCATTTGTTTGGCCTGAAGGAAACGGCAGCTCCCTGAAGTGTCTATAGAAAAATGATGAGTACTACACAGAAACCACTTCACCTTTTTCACAATAGAGGAGAGACTTTGGCTGGCCTTGCTATTCTGCGGGGCCAAATTTACCATTACAAAGACTTTGAACTCTTACAGAACATTCAAATCCAGTGTCTCTCAAACAGAATCCAATATAAATGAAAATAGGGTGTAATGTTGTTGACAGTTTTATGATATATGGGAGATAAGATGGAATATACAGTGGGTTAGAGCATTTTATACTGCAAAGAGCCCGTTAAAGCACGCAGGGGCATGAAGGGGCGCGCTCATCTTGATATTTCCTTTCTTAGCCTTGTCACTGCGGCTTTACAACTGAAGGAAATTCTTTCTATGGTGACATTAAGTTCCTCCTGTGCTATTGTCATAAGTTTGCAGTAACATTGTAATGGGTTTTTGACAGTTGCCAGTTTTTGCATGGCTATTTTTCTTAGGCCAGACATAATTACGCAATATAATGAATGGGCAAATGTACCGAAGTGAATCAAAGAATCGCAATAAAATTAATAAATTATTGAAAAAAATATGTTTTATCTGGATCAAAACATGCTGAAAAGAGGTTTTGTGACTCTGACAGAGCTGTAATTACGTGTGATTTAAGTGATATTTCTAATCAAACTAACAATGATGTTTTTGCCTTTGTATCAAATGTATGCAAACTTTAACATACATTTTCATACAACAACGAATAATCGCCCAACCAATCAAATCCGACTTCACATCTAGAAATCATTGTGCAATCATTTGACAGATTTTAAATCATTGTGTGTTTCAAAAATTGTATACATTGTGTCTCTTTGTGATTAAAGGTGTTACATTTTACCTGCACCAGACAAAGTGGCTGGTTCTCTATGAATGGGAATCGGAAATGAATTACGGGGAAGAAAATGGATGGATAGACAATTTACCTGTATTTTAAATCCTAACTAGGCGATTATATTTTTTTTCAGTCTGACCAATACACGTCTCTTGCAATGTCCCTGATAAATAAATGAACATTTTTTTTGCAGGTTCTTAGGCGTTTAATGCTGAAGACGATTTCTGCCATCTGGAGACAAGAACATAACAGTATTCACAAGGGACCATCAAACTTTGAATCAGAGGACAAACGTCAACTGAGCACTTGTCACTTGTGATTTGGCAGTGATGTGATAATGATAGACTAACAAGCCACTCTGGACGACATGAGATGTGAGCTGATAACACACACGCCTAGCACTGACATAGTTATGACACTTGTATAATGAGAGTAAAATACAATGTAATGATTAGAAACTCTTACGTGATATTCTCATCACAAAGGAAATAAGTTCATGTTCCTTTATGACAAGGCAATTGACAACTCTACACATCTTTATTAACCCTGTAGGCAGCAAAGTCGCAGAATGGCTACTTGAGCTCCTGAAGGACACTTTCTATAGAGAGACCTGGCTTCACACAAATGGATCTCTACATTCCTTCTATTATTTTTTGTTATTGATTTTAGAAGCCACCTCTCCTCACATGTCTTTCTCCAGCCTACCGCTTTTGAGCTTGTACCGAGATGTAATATTGTAAAATTGCAACAATATACATGTGTAAGCCGCCCAAAGAAACTAAACTATACTTCAGAACATGTGTTGTGGGAGTGCTTTCAATGAGAAAGGTGTGCCACAACCTAAAAAGGGTTTCAGGACACCACCTGTTGTCTGTCATGTTTTTTGTTGCATAGCATTTCTGAAAAAAAATATAATAATAATTCTAATAAGGGTTTTCAGTTTGATTTTACCAACCATCCATGTCATCCAAGGGCACCAATTTTTTGTTGTGATAATTACCGTACAGTGAAATTATGCAGATAACACAGTTTAATGGGCTTGAGTTGCAGTAAACAAGACACAAGGGAAAATAGTGTATTTGGGGCTACTGATGAATTACCGGGATCCACCATGAGCAAAACTTGTCACAAATCAAAAATGACCTGTTCCTTATACATTTCTGAAGTACTGATTTGTGTATAGCTGTGAAGTCGTGTTGTAATAGGGAAAAGTGTGGTGACTAATTCCCGCCTTGAATGCAGTCCATTTGGCATTGCCTTAAGCACCGGTCTGTCCATTACTGCAGCTCTGACTCACAAACTCTCTAGACCTGGGGCTGTCAGCAAGAGTCACACAGACACGTTGGCATACACGGGCTAACAAACATTTCACCAGCTAACACGCCACATATACAGCCTCGCCCTGCGTTCTTCCTGTCACTCTTCCTGACATACACTTTTTCTTGTTTCTTTTTTTTTTTCACCGTCGGAATTGGGTCTTTTTATAGAGCGGTGGTTGTGTGGGTGGCAGTGTGGCCGTGCTGCTTTTCGCCCAGCTCAAACTGGATCTCAGATCAATATCCTGTCCCCCGCTGACCAGCTAGCTCAGGCCGGACAGACTGCGAAAGAAAACCTGTCCTTGTGCTTTTAGTGCTCCAGGCTTTTACGAGAAATGAGAGTATTTTCAGAAATACGGTGGTCACAGTTTTCATATTAATGAATAGTAAATCGTTTTCTTTGCTCTTTATGAATATGATCTCCTACTGTATATGTATAAATTTAAAGAACAGGGATGTATAATTTGGATAATCAATGATAATGGATAATTATTTTGTTGGCAGTTGTTTGGCTCCTGAAAGATTTGCGCTTTTTCACCCATAGGATGTTTGATTAATAATACTTGGATGGAAATATATAGAATCATCACCTCTTCACAGTCTATGTCAGGTTAATAGTAAAAAGTTATTGAGTATAATATATGGACTAATCAGTGAATCGTGACAACAAGTAAGGGCTACAAAATTGGCAGATTGCATCACCAGACCCACAATTGGTGCCAATGTTTATATGTCCAGTTGAATTTTTTTATAACTTTGTCAAGTCTAGACTCCTTTATGATCAAGGTGACTTATGGTGCGTCCGGTGACACGGCGCAGCATTCAGGATCCCATACTCTGACAGATTACGGTGTTGGACAAGCTGCCACTTGGAGCAGTATGCTGTGATGGCTCTGATAATTGAAGTGCTGGAAGCTGGATGGCTTGGACAGATGAAGCCAGTCCAGTCAATGAATCAATAGTGTAATTGTGAGCTGCAGGTTCTGACGGCCATTTTAACAGCACCAAAGCTTGAACAAACTGTTTTTGTCACACTTCATTTGTTTTCTGTTTTATTATTTTTTTTATTTTTTTCCAAATACTGTCTAAAACGGCTATTAGGTAAACATGCAGCCTTATGAATCAAATAATTTCATATGTGCCTGAGGCAACAGGCATCATATCCAATTCAAGAAGTGACAGCATAAAGGGAAAAAAACACTCAAGGGATGACAGCCAATATATTTGTTATTGGAATTAACAAGCATGTTGATGGAGATTTATGCTTCCAGATTCTGTTTATTATTGTTTTATATCACAGATATAACCAATCTATTTGCCTATCTTCTTCTTGGCAAACGGAGAGGCTGATCGACATGCATAGCATGACAGCAAACAGCTTGCATAATTGTTGCCTGGGCTCCTCAAGTCAATAGCTATGACTTTATCAGCTGGAAAACACACAGACGGTTTGTTCATGGACTTAATTGAACAGGAGTATGTGCATCCCAGCGCTTTGCACACAAAGTCATTCTCCAATCATTCAAATGTCACACAGCAACCAGCAATGCACCTGCTCGGTATGTCAAGCTAATGTTTGACAAGGGGGAAAATGACAAAGACATCGCATCAAGAGGCTATTTTACTTGGGCTTACCTGACAGATAGGACGTTTACATCTTTGTCTATAGCAAGACAAAGCAATCCTTACATTATCGTCACATTTGAGCTATTGATAATGGTATTCATGTCACTGTACTGCTGTAATTTGTATATCTATTCTATTCTAGATTCAATCTAGAATAGAAATGAATCATCATAATTGTATACACACACATTGAACATTCAGCATATTCATTCATTGAGCAACTCGAAGGCCATCTTGTCAGTTCTGGACACACATGAGAGCAAAAGAAAAAGTAGTGAAAAGTAAAGTGTGCAGTGCCTGAGGGCAAGACATTCAGTTACTGCACAATAGCAGTCTGACACTGTCTGCGGAGAGACAGCCTAGAGAAACAACGCATTGATTGAACACTAAATATCATTTTACAAACATGTCATCCAATCAGTGGGTGCATTCACTGGGCTTACAATACAACTGAAGATGTGAAATCTCAGAGCTGCGGTTCGGTTTGCGGACAGCAGCAAAGGACACTGAAAAGCGTGAGAAAGACCATTGTGATGATTTCTAATCTACTGTGGTCTCGGGAGAATGAAAGGATTTGTCACCAGCGGGAGGCGGACCTGGCCGGCTAACCGTGGCCACAACACACACAGGCCTGTAGCCCCGTTGCAATTTACACTCCACAGAGAACGCTAAGCCCAAATCAAGGTAAAACCACAGCAGTGCTGATGACGAGATTTATCTCCATTTTTAGATGTTAAAGAAGGACAAAGCTTAACCTTTTACATTTCCCTGGTATTCTCAAACCAATATTGTAGCACAGTCATGATAATAAGTGTGTAATTTGAAAGGGTCAAAGAAGCCATGGTGAGATAAAAGATTTGCACTGCCAAATGGGATGAGACAGTCGAGGAAGGCACTAGTGACAGGTGCAGATGAAGATAAATGCTAGATGCTGGAGGCCAAAGTTGTGTTCGAGCCCAACAAGAAGTAGCTCGCTGAAGAGGCAAAAGAAAAGTCCAAGAATTAGAGTGAGCGACAGTTCAAGAAGATGGAAGTGTACAGAGGTAGTGAGGAGTTAGTCCAGGAAGGGGCTAAAAGTTAAAGCAAAAACAGGAAAGTGAGAAAGAGAAATAGCCAATTAGCAGGAAGCCAGCAGGTGTGCTTTCTCTCCCCATCCTCTCTTCCCTTACCCCCATTCCTGCTATGGGGGGTGGAGGGGGGGACGCTGTGCGGGCCTTAAAGAGCAGGGAGTTGCTATGGCAACTGCCTGGCACGCTCCGTCTCCAGGGAAACGGAAATGTCACAGCTTAAGAGGTCTCACAGAAAGCAAGTGAGGAAGAGAGAGAGATACAGGTGAGTGAGGAAACGCAGCCGAGGGATCGATGCATTAGTCCTTATCTCCGGAGCGAGCCTGTCACATTATCTATGGAGTTTGTGTATAATCGAATTAATCATCTGGCATCGTCCCACGGCCTTCTTGCTCACTTTGTAACTTAGTTTACCGCTCCAACAGATGACAGCACAGACAGTACAGGGTAATTTGAAGATGGTCCCTTTGTGAGAATCACAGCCATTTGCTGACAGTTTTTAAGCACACTGTTTATACACTATTGTCAGACCTTCAAGAGCTAATCAACTTTCCAGTGTTTAATCAAATATTTATTCTCATAAGCGGCCGTACGGCCTGAGGGCGTGGTGAGAAAGCCAAACCTGTATGAGCGTGCGTGTGGTGGAGGTTTTTGCTGCAGAACAATGAGCTGACCCTCCAAATCACACATTAGCCTGGGCCGACAAGCTGAAAGCCCATTAACCTGAATGGCCGCTGATTGCTCCACTATTAACACAGCCTGACTCCTCTTCTCTAGGGCTGAACCCACTTACACAGGTGCTTCAGGACCCCTCAAGGTCTTTCTTTAATCACAGTAAACAAATGTTGTTTTTGTAATGGTGGCAGCACCTATTTTGTTGCATTCTGCACAATATAGTCACCACTGTTCGCCTAAAATATTTGTTTTCCATGTGATTCATGTTGTGAATGTGCCCATCTGGCATAATTGACCTTTGTCAGAGGCCTGTTGTGACTTAAAAAGGTTGTTGGCTTGTGCTGGAAAGTCACAAAGAAAGAGAGGTGTGTCTGTGGCTGTGTGCTGTGAGTGAGCGGAGATGGCCAGCTAAATGGAGCATTTCTCCAGCTTGCTGCTGCATGCTTGACAGTGTGGCCTGGCCATGCCTAATTTATTTCCTCTTTTGTCGTTGTTGTCTCCATTCCTCGGTTGATTAAACCAACCTCATGCAGCTATGCTCAACAAATAGCCTAATTGAGTACGACCTTGGCAAATGATATATCAGTCCTATCCTCCAAAAACACCACCTGCACCAGACGCCCATCTCACCATCCCATCGCTCCGCAGGCTGCCGCACCACGCACAACAAACATAAACCGGGGATTCGCCTCCTCAGCCAAAGTCATTTCTTGCACGACCTTTCCCACAAATCACTGTGATGACACAAGCCTGGATGGATCACTGGAATGGGACACATTTGTATCACTTAGACCTTTCATCAGATGCACGCAGATACTCATCTATTATTCCCCTTTCCATTTGCAACTTTCACCCCACAGCCTGCACACAGAGGGCAAAATAAGTGAACAAAACATCACTAGCACAGCCTACCCCACACAGCAGCTGCAGCAGGCTTAAGCAGCACAGAATTCTCATTAAATTTCCATCCCTTGTCTGTGTTTAGATTGGAGCTGGAATGAGAAGAGCGGGGGGCTGGTAGTTTGTGTTCAAAGCGTCCCGCTGCAGAAGATCTGATGGCTTTCTCAGTGCGCTCTGTGGTGGGACCCCTCACAGGATACAGATGCCTGCTTGGAGATGGCTTCATATCTAATGAGTGTGAGCTCCAACAGGGCCACATGCACAAAGCAGCATTGCCCTGGATTCGGTGTTTGTTTGCCACCAGAGGCCCCTCCCTCTCTGCCTGTGCGCTCACTCAGCACTGAGACATGCCCCTGTCCACAGCCAGCCTGTGACACTGATGTGTTCCTCAGGAGAGATGTGTATCCTGCAGGTAAACACCTGGAGGCTGAAAAATCACCCTCACATTCAGACAGCCGCTGTGTGTTGTAGCCGCACAGCTAACAAACTCAGGCCTGTCTCTTTGCTGTCTCTACATGTTGCCCACACACTGGACTGACACACTGGACCATGAACCGCTAGTGACACGAGAAAGAAAAGTGCCAAAATCAGCTTCTTACAACAACAACTAACAACATCCCGGGGCAAAACAACCCATTTTCATTGCAAAGTCAGAGGTGAATGGGGATCTAGGATTTAGTTTTTTTCTCATTGGTCACTTGGGAGTTGCAGAGGGCCTATTACCGAAGGCTCACTTCACTTCTGCTGCTTTCTACTGTGTTAAAACAATACCAGAAGTGTGCTTTGATTCATTCATGCATGTTTGAGTAATCCTGCTTCCTCCAAAAAGAGAAGCTACCGGTCGTGTTGCCAACAATTGAAACAATTACAATAAATATCATCAAAACATTATCCACCAAAAATAAAAAAATTGTGCCCTGGAACCGTATTTTGTGTGTATTTAGTTTTCACCCCATGCATATATTTTTGTTTGCATTTGAAGCTGGAGTGACCTCTAGAGAGAATCTGAAGGAGATGTGAGCCATGTAAACAGAGGATTTGCTCTTTTACTTCCCTGCAGCTGCATTGCATCAGGCCTGGAGGTGGGCAAGAGATGTTCTGACAAAAATAGGTCAGGCAAACCAATACACAGCCGGGGAGAACGGCAGAGGTCACCAGAATGTAACGCGTTGGAGCAGGGTATTAGCTGGATGAGAACATGGAAGCAACAGGATAATTGTGGTTCTTTGCGGCCATGACATAGAGGTCAGGCTTTGTTTCAATACTTCAATCGCGATACATTCCAATGACAGCACTCACAGGCATCCACTTTTAAAGTCAAACATATAAAAATCACAGCGGGGGATAATGCATATGGCGGCTCATTAAATTTTTGCTTTAGAGTCCTTTGACAAGCTTCAGATTTCAAGACAGCGCGCCATTGAGGGCGTGTCAGAGCGGTCCCTTTAGGCAACTCGCATAAGACAAACAGCAGGGGGTGGCGATGCTCTCTGCCATTTAGACGATTAATGCACATTGCCACCAGGGCCATATATGCTTCACAAACCCTTGCACTGTTACAAGAAGCCCAGAAAAAGTGCAGATTATATACAATCTGGACAAACGCAGAAGGAAATTATCCTAACAAAATTGCAGGGATGCTTGCAATTTTGAGATGTTTTAAAAGGGTTGGAATGGAGAGAAGTCTAATGGCTGCTTTCATTTCTCAAATACAAGCTGCACGAAAACGGACCTACCGACTCCACATTACAGACTCTGCCCTTTGCGCTGTAAAAGGAGAAAGGATCTAATTGTCACAAGGTTCTTTCTTTTCTCATAACATACTTTTCCGTTTGAGTTTAGTCAGAGCATTTATATGACCTCAAGGAACACATAAGTGGTCTAAAGTAATCACATATATTTCTTCAAGACAAGCCCAATTGTCTCCATCCTTTCCGGTTCAACGGCCGAGACAAGTAACCACACAAACAGAAAGAGATACAACGCAGACAGAGTCAATAATTCAAGTGAACTGTACAAACAAAAGTCAAGATAATATTTGTATTTTGATGTGTACTCACTTTTGGATGAGCAACAATATGTATGGTTTAATATCAGTATAAATATCAATATTATGGTCAGTGGAAAATGTATTGTTTTAGATGCGCAGGCAGCGTAAAATAGTCAGTATATACTATTTTACAACAGGTCAGATTGAACACAACATTTTCTCTGCAGCACAAGTGATATGTATGAGTTATTAATCATTTATCTTGTGTTGTGTGTCCTCATTCCCACTGTAACTTCTGATGTAACACTGAAACGAATAAAGGATCTTTTAATCTTTCTATCATTCTATCTTTTCACATGAAGCTGGAACGTTCTTTTTTCAAAAAATACCAATTTTTTGTCCGAACCGAAGTCGATCGTTTAAGGAAAATTTTGTGACCACAACATGACATGTTTTCTAAAATCTTATTAGAAGTATTATATTATACATATAATACATGAAAACTAGTGATGGAACAAAACAGTTGGAAGAGTGAAGAACATGGATTTAATTTCATATTTGTATTGTTGTCATTCAAGTGAAAAAGACAAACACAAGATAATATTTGTATTATTTGGATGTGTTTTATATATTATGATTTAGGACAGGTGAAAATAGCAATTTTAACTCGAATAACTTCTTTTCACCTTGAGCCAAAGCTAATTCCTAGTGTGTGAATTCTTGTTACTTATAACAGGAAATCTCTCTTGATTCTGACTCCTTTTGTTTAAGTCTATATTTTTTAGCAATTTCCCTTTCAGACTATAGTGCTCAGGGATTGTATCTTAAGCTTCTTGCCCAACGTGGCCATCCTGCATTCATAATCATCAATCAGTTTGTAATGTGATCCAGCTCCACACGTCACCGACAGTCCACACCAGGAGGCCTCCACCGTCTCCACACTCTCAAACACCGTATTCCTTTCACTACTTCTGCTCTGCGAATGTGCTGCGGGATTTATTAAACATTTCCCATGGTTAGCAATTTACATACGGCCAATATCACAAGACTTCATTACACAAATAATCCGGGATCGCATCTCTCTTCCAATGTTTGCAAATCTAATTATTGTAACATCAAATTGAATTTCACTGCTATTATTTGTATTTTTCTGGCGGTAGGATGATGTAATTGGTGTGCTTAGATATCACTGTTGTTGATAGATGTGTTTGGTTTCCTCGATGTAGAAGTACGCAGTCCAAAGGGCAGACGCGCCACACTAAAGCTCGGGCCACTGCTGGGATAACTGCTTTAATGACATTATGGTGCTGCTCGAAGGTGGAGAAAGGACGTTCGGAACAGGAGGAAATGTGTGCTGGGCAGAAAAGTGTTAGGTCTGAAGACATCTCTATCTCAAATAAATTGTACAGCATTTTGCCAAAAGAAAAAGTGAAAATAAGAGGGGAAGTCTCATGCTATGATGCAGGAAGGAAATGATTGTCCAGTGTTGACAATGACAGATTCCGGTGATCCCCTCTCTGGTGGTCATATCCTGTATATGACCAAAGCACGAGTAAGAGGCGGCTGCAAGAGGTTTTTTTCCTAAACCCGTAAGGTGGACGATTCAAACCTGTTCTGTCACTACAACCATTTTTCTTTTGTATGAATTGTGATTTTTAGTGCTTTTTACCTGTAAAAGTCAAAGCACTTTACATCAATAAACCTATTCACACACAAACGCACACACATATACACACACACAAACAAAGACACATAAGGTTAGTTTTGTCTCAGTAGGAGAAATCTTTCGTTTGTACCAGATATCTGTAAGCTAGGTTATAACATTGCAATCTTACAATTCTTATGAAAGTAAAGGTAACACAGAGAGAACCATGAACCTGTCCAATCAGATCTCTGGGAGGAGCGCTGGATTATCTCACATATAACGACATTTTAATTTTTCTCTCTATGGAGCTGAATAGAAAGGTCTGTGGAAGCTTCATCTTTCTGGAAAACATGTAGGTCAGTGTAAGTAAGTAAGTAAGCTTTATTTATATACCGCCTTTCACAGACCAGAGTCACAAAGCGGTTTACAATTGTTATTTTATGGGCACTTGTCCTCTCACTCCACACAGAGATGGGAGCGGGGTCGCCGAACAGGAGGCGCATGCCAGACCTATTGTACATATTTTTAGTGGTAGGGGAAACCGGAGTACCCGGAGGAAACCTACGCAGACACGGGGAGAACATGCAAACTCCACTCAGAAAGGCCCTGGTCCGGCCGGGATTCGAACCCAGGACCTTCTTGCTGAGAGGCGAGAGTGCTATCCACTCAGCCACCGTGCCGCCCGCAGTGGGTCCTAGCCTGTATGATGCTTATGGGTGTGGTATTTCAACCTCCAATTTTACAGATCAGACTGATTAAACAACCACAAATATTCAGTATGTTGAGATGTTTTAACGGGAGGATTGATAGTGATTGGCAAGATCAGAGGTTGGCGTTATTATTTTGTTTTGGTGCTGTCCTGAAAAAACTGCACTCGTACATTATTTATTTGTGCCTTTGATGTATCATTCATTTTTTTAGAGTCCTGGCTTTTTTCATTTTCAGTGATATGTGGGGATATACCAATTTTTACTGCAACTCAGACCAAATTCACGTTGACTTTATACTCACACCGGCAATAGCATTCAAGGAACAGCGTAATTAGCTTCAGAATATACAACTAGACAACAAAGTAGCCAAGAAATGACCGTGAGAAGACAGAACTATTACAGTACTAAAAGATCTCCACATCTTGTCTTTCATGTGCATTCCTTTACACTACTATCAACATGTTTTCGAAATAAAAACAAAGAAAAAGAGAAGTTTCAGTAGTGGAAAGCAAAGATGAAACAGTTCTTCACAAGTTATCCCTGGAAGTGAAAGCAGCAGTCCCAAGAGTTCCTATGTCCACTATGAATGACACTCTAGCAGCTCGGCTCTCTGGGGAGCTTATTCACAGGGTATTGGCTGGCACACACACACACACACACACACGCACACACACAGACGCACGCACACACACACACACACACACACACAGTCAAAAGAAAAACCAAGCAAGAAAGCGAAAAAATATGCCTTGTGTTCGTCTCTTTTCATTTCTCTTATCTTTGATGCTTCACTGTACAAACCTGGGTTCTC